AAAAAAAACGACCTGAACGTGCCCGTTGGGTGAGGTAGACTTCGGAGAAGCGTCATTTGCTGGGCCTCATTAGATATTTCCAAAGGCAATAATTTGGCTAATTTGCTTGACTTGACCTTTTCTACATTTCCAAGTCTTCGTTCTTTTACCGTAAAAAATGGTAGTACTATTACTTTATTACAACCATTTATTTTGTTTTGATGAAGCCCTTGCTCTTTAGAAAACAAAATTGAAAAAAAAATGTTACAATGGGACGTTTTTCATTTTTCGCAAGTTACAAAAAGTTATTCCTTCATCATAAACGTATCATTCCCACCTCAGGCCGTTTGGTAATAATATGTATCACTTAATTTATGAATTAGGTTAAATCCTCCATTTCTCAAAAATTACCCTTAATCAAAAAAAAAAAGAAGAAAGTATCATAACCATCTATTTTGTTTTGAAGAAGCCTCTCGCTATTATAAAACAAAATTGAATAAAGAAAAGTCACGCTTGTAAAAAAAAAAAAGGGTTACAGTGTGTCATCTTTCTTTTCTTCTTCTTTTTTTTTTTTTTTTTTATAAAAAATATTGAATAAAGAAAAGTCACGCTTGTAAAAAAAAAAAAAAAGGGTTACAGTGTGTCATCTTTCTTTTCTTCTTCTTTTTTTTTTTTTTGACAAAAAAAAATAATTAGATTGATTGTTAGTATATATTGCTTTATAAGAAAGTCAAATCTTGAAAATAAATACATTTTATTTATTATTCAATAAATAATGTAACCACCAATAGCCAACCGGGCCTGTGGTCCAATTGATTGGTCCCCAAGCTTTAGGGTTTGGGTGAGGCGGAGGTCAGGGCTTCGAACTTTGCCACCGTCGTGAACTCCACCAACTTGCGACCTAATGGTCGCGCGCCTCAAATGAGGAGGTGGAACGTTCACTTTCTTGAAAAAATTTCAACTGCTAACAAACTAACTCTACTAACTTCCTAACCATCTACCTGGTCAAAAAAAAAAAAAACGTAACCACCAATAAATCATATGAAAAATTACTACATCATCTTTCTTTTTCTTACAATTAAAAAAGTCATTTCTCTATCATACACGTCTATTTTGTTTTAAAGAAGCCTCTTGCCATCAGAAATTGAAAAAAATTAAAAAAAAGAATGGGTCGTCTTTCATTTTTCTTAAGGACGAAGTAGTTATTACTTTTTTTAATAAAAATTATATTACCACTAGGAACTAGCTAGTTGGGTAGTGTGCAAAAAAGGTTATTTCTTTATCATACCTGTCAATTTTGTTTCAAGAAGCCACATGCTATCAGAAAATAACATTGAAAAGTAAAAATGAAGTTACAATGAGTCTCTCTACCTTAAGGGCGTTAGGATTTATTTAGGC